TCACTAAACAACTTCGATTCTATACATCAAAAAAAAAAAAAAAAAAAATGACAGTCAAGAGCTCTAACCCTACTCTAATATAGTTAGTTGTTATCCCTCAAGGGCTCATCCCTATTATCTTGAAAGTTACACATGGGTCCCAGTCTGTTCCACAAGGCCCTCATTTGGACCAGCAGGCTACCAGGCCATGTTATTTTAATGACACTAGCAGAAACCAAGAAAGCAAGCCCTGCCACATAAGCATGTTTCAGATCTTTGCTCACACCACCTCTGCTGCCATTCCTTTGGCCAAAGCAAATTACATGGCCAAACTCAACTCAGTGGGATGGGGAAGTGTATTTGGCCCACAGGACAATGAATATTTGATGAACAATCATCCAAACTAATGGACCTGGCTTCCACTGAACTCCAAAAGCTTGAAGATCATAGTAATCAAAGACATGTCTCAATTCCAGCTATGAGAAACCATTTTTAAGGAATGTAATAAGCATGGAGGCCTTAAGTGATTTTCTTTGGCTCACATCAAAAGTCACAAACAGGGCTGAGAGCAGTGGTTCACACCTGTAATCCCAACACTTTGGGAGGCCAAAGTGGGAGGATTGCTTGAGGCCGGAAGTTTGAGACCAGCCTGGGCAACATGGTGAGATTCTATCTCTACAAAAAATTAAAAGAAAAAAATAATAGCCAGACATAGTGGCATACACCTGTAGTCCAAGCTACACTGAAGGCTGAGGCAAGAGAATCGCTTGAGCCCAGGAGCTCGAGGTTACAGTAAGCTATGATTGTGCCATGGCACTTCAGCCTGGTGACAGAGCAAGATCCTGTCTCAAAACAAAACCAAACAAAAACTCACAAATAAAGGTGGAATAAACCTCAGTCTCTTAAGTTCCTCTCCAGCACCCTATTACTCCGTGACACAAGCAGATTAACTAAGCAACCCCCAATACATCTGGCAATTTCATTATGTACTCCATGACCCAGACCACCCTTTTGTGGCTTTGAGGGAGGGTTGTTTGTTTTTGTTTGTTTTTAGTTAATAAAAGATGGGCGTGGTTAAGGGTAATGGTTAAGAGATCTGGGTTTTGATTCCAGCTCCACCCACCATGGTGTTGTTGAGAAAGTTCTTAACTTTGCTGAACCTAGTTTTTTTTCGTTTCTAAAATATTGATAACTCCTCAGGCTTTGTGAAGGCTAAAAGGAGATGTTTGTGAAATGCTTAGAGCATAAAGAGTACACAATTAGGAGTTTAAAAATAATTTCTTCCATCACTTTAAAGCTAGGCATGATCGCTGCCTCCACTGAGCTCCTAGGGCACTTACTCAATTCAATTAAGCACTGAGATATTTTAGGAATCATGAGTTTGCATCCCTATATAGGCCAGGCAGGTATCATGAAAATGTTAAGAAAGCTGTAGCTTCTTTCATATTGGTGTCTTATGTTGCATTTTTTTCTGACAGACCCATATGCTTGCATATTAAAAGATGTAGGAATATGCTTCTATGCACAAAGAAACATTTTTCTCCAGAGGTTATGTTCAAAATATTTAACAACTGGCCTTCAGCCTGGGCTCCGCAGTTGGATGCCTCCTGGCTGTAGTGCTGGAGCCAGGTGCAGCTGGACCGGGGGCAAGGAGAAGATAGACTGAAGTAAGTGCTCAGGGCAGCAGGGTAGTGCACAGGGACTTCGGCAATGGTCATTTCCAAACCAATATGGAAATATTTTTTACCAGAATAAGCTGAATATGTCTTACTTCTCTCCCATTTAAAAAAAAAAAAAAGTCTTCTTGGCCTATCCTTTGTTTTCCTGTTTTTTTGTCATTGTCGTTGTTGTTGTTTTTTGTTTGTTTGTTTTTGAGACGGAGTCTCACTCTGTTGCCCTAGCTGGAGTACAGTGGTATGGATCTCGACTCACTGCAACCTCTGCCTCCCGGACTCAAACACTACCACACTGGCTAATTTTTGTATTTTTAGTAGAGACAGGGTTTCACCACGTTGCCCAGGCTGGTCTTGAACTCCTGACCTCAAGTGATTCACCCGCCTCAGCCTCCGAAGTGCTGGGATTACAGGCATCATCCACTGTGCCCAGTCTGTTTTCTTGTTTTTGACAGAGACATGAGTACAAAGAAATGATAATCTTCTATAAGCTCATACCCTCGTCGACAGCAGGCAGCCTTCATTCAGCTCCAGCCAAATGTCATCTTGTGCCAATTAGAACTTCCAGTTTTCTTAAGAGAAGCCAGAAATGCAAATTTTTATTGAATTTTTAATGTCAGTACAATGATTTTTAAATCTCTATGCAAGCCAGACATGGTGGCCTCTGGCCTATTGAATGTATACTATATTCCACCAAGCATTGCAAAAGTTCAAAGATGTGAATTCTGCCCTGAGAGGACTTGATCATCTGATAGGCAAACAAACAAATAAAAATTAATTTTATGGTCGGACGGTCCACGTGATGAACTACTCTGTATAACTAATAACTTTACCTTGAGTTTATGTCTTATCATTGGATCAGATTAAACTCTTTTAAGAGTAAAGATTCTATGTTGTCCATGCTTGTCCTCAGCACTGACTGCCTTGCCCATAATGTTTTGATCGATTCGTTGTCCTGATGATCTCTTGCTTAGCATGTATACAATTAAATGAACATATGACAATCTTGATGATGCAGCCATTTCAATTAAGTCATCTCCCTGTATAATCAATCTTACAATAAGTAGCTTGCAGACAGTAGGCAAGGAATAAAGCCTCCTGTAATTGAACCAACCTGATCTTGTTCTGTTGATTAAAGACACAGGCTACATGCAAGAACAGAGCAGAAGGAAATGTAAAAATGCAAACATTTCCTTCTGAAACCCATATGGGAAATGAAATTTGAGAGAGAGCTACGACTAGCACCTCCTTCTGAACCTTTATTTATTTTCAGTGCCAAATGGACCTCCTGATTACTCTCTGAAATCAAGTGAAATACAAAGGCAGAGACCAAAATTCAATTTGATTATTTTGCTGGAAAACAAAATCTAGCTATAACTTACTACCTTTGGAAAACACAAGAATGCCTAGGAAATAGTCATAATGTCAACAATAAGTAGCTACAAGAAAGGACATGGCTACAAAATAGCATAAGACAGCCGGGTGTGGTGGCTCATGCCTGTAATCCCAGTATTTTGGGAGGCCAAGGCGGTGGATCACTTGAGGTCAGGAGTTCAAAACCAGCCTGACAAACATGGTAAAACCCCGTCTCTACCAAAAATACAAAAAAAGAAATTAGCCTGGCATGGTGGCAAGCACTTATAATCCCAGTTACTCGGGAGGCTGAGGCAGAAGACTCACTTGAACCTGGAAGGTGGAAGTTGCAATGAGTGGGGATTGTGCCACCGCACTTCAGCCTGGGTGACAGAGTGACACTCTGCCTCAGAAAAAAATAGAATAAGAAAAATCTTAAAACTGGAAGAATTTATCCATGTAAATAAAGCATCAAAACAACTTTTTTCCTCTATTGTTTAGCAAGATTATTTAGTTTTACTATATAGTTCAGTCAAATAAATATTTTTCATATCTTTCAATCAAGGTTATATTTTTAACTGATTCTCTTATTTTTTTTTCAGGCTTAATTCACTTTATTTTTCTTGTATAAAAAACCCTATGTTGTAGCCACAGCTGGAGCCTGGGTCCGCTGCACGGAGACTCTGGTGTGGGTCTTGACAAGGTGGTCAGTGAATTCCTGATAGGGAGACTTGGTAAACACAGTCTCCTTCCAGAGGTCAGGGGTCAGGTAGCTGTAGGTCTTAGAGATGGCATCAAACATGGCCTCGGCGAAGTTGCCCAGGGTGGCAGTGCAGCCCTGGGCTGAAGTGTAGCAGTCATCTATACCAGCCATCATGAGCAGCTTCTTGGGCACAGGCGCTGAGAGGATGCCAGTGCCCCTGGATGCAGGGATGAGGCGCACCAGCACAGAGCCACAGCGGCCTGTCACCTTGCAAGGGACGGTGTGGGGCTTGCCAATCTTGTTCCCCCAGTAGCCTCTGCGCATGGGGACAATGGAGAGTTTGGCCAGGATCATGGCCCCACGGATGGCGGTGGCCACCTCCTTAGAGCACTTAACACCCAGGCCGACGTGGCCATTGTAGTCCCCTATAGCAACAAAGGCCTTGAACCTGGTGGGCTGGCCAGCACGGGTCTGCTTCTGCACCGGCATAATCTTCAAAACCTCATCTTTGAGAGAAGCCCCCAAGAAAAAGTCAATGATCTCAGATTCCTTAATGGGCAGGGAGAAGAGGTAGATCTCCTCCAGGGACTTGATCTTCATGTCCTTGACCAAGCGGCCCAGCTTGGTGACGGGCATCCACTCCTTATCCTTGGCCTTGCCTCTGCGAGCTCAGCGGCCTCGGCCCGGACCCCGTCCACAGCCGGGACCCCAGCCCCGGATGCCACTGCCGAAACCTCCGCGGAAGCCACCGCCCTTCCCCACCCCAGGGCCACCAGGGCCTCCGGGCCGCCCCCCCCGCTGCACCGGCGTCATCTGCCATTTGGTGTTTTCTTGGAGAAGAAGTGATTCTCTTATTTTAAAAGTAGTACATGCTCATTGAAAGAAAGAATTCAAAAGTGTTACAACGTTTCTTTTCTTATCCCTCTTCACTTCCCTCAATCATCCTAGTCCTAAGTGTAACTACTAGTAGTTGAGTTTATCTCCTGCCAGGCCTTTTCTTGCTCACTCAAAATCTATGTATGTGTTTGCATATGGCTCTTTTTCCCAAGGACATTGGACTTATACTCTATACTATTCTGTACTTAACTTTTTTCTTCCTGTTCAGTCAGTTTACATGTTGATCTCTCATTATCCTTTGAGATTACATATTATTTCATAGTATTAATATACTATACTTTGTTTAATACCTCAGTTGAGAACTCTTAATGTTGTCTCCAATTTTTCAACATTACAAACAGTGCTGCAGTAAATTTCACCAGTTTAGATTTTAACTTACTTTTTCATTTTAACAGGACTGTGGAAACTGAAGTCATTGCAGAGTTTGGATCTGTCATTCAATGGGATATTGCAAATAGGGTGGTCTGATTTTCACAACTGCCTGCAACTGGAGAATCTCTATTTAAAGAGCAACAAGATATTCAAAATTCACCCACAAGCCTTCAAAGACCTCAAAAAATTACAGGTTCTAAAATCATTTTTATAATATTTGAATAAGGAAGACACATGGGCAATTACATTAGAAGCATATTTCTGTTGAAGAGTTTCTTCATGTCCAGTAGTACTGGCTATTAATCAAAAACTGTTAGTCTATTTTAAGATCCCTTAAAGAGCTCAAGTCTCTTTCTTGCCTCAAAAATCAAAGGCCACAATAAGGGACATGAATTTTACTCCAACATAATACTCAACAGCAAGAATTGACACATTATTTTTCTAAGTCAAATTATATCCGACTCCTACATTCCACTTACCAGTTGGCAAGAAATTGAATCTTAGTTATTAGTAAGGCTGTCTCCCTAAGCTACAAGATTGGTGAAAGGTCTCAGGGGTCTTATGCAATATGGAACACTTGGGGAGGCCCCTGTAAACCAACCTGGCTGATGCTAAGATGTCAACGACCCAGGACTAGATGGGCCTCTGAAACCCAGTGACCCTGTTGCTTCCATTTCAAAATTGGACACAAAACAATAAAAATGATAGTGATAATATTTCCCTACTTGTATAACACATGTGCCACATGTAGTTCTAAATGTCCAAACCCATATTGGGGAGATTTATGTCACATTTTGGCCCCATAGTTCCTGTCTCTGGCACATCGCAGTTAATCTGCCAAGGTGCCAATAGCTGTAAGCGTAAGGAACTCCTGAAGCCCTGTTCTAGGTCTGGCAGCTTCAGCCCCTTCTCCTCCAAGCACTTTTCTCCACACCCTTCCCTTTGGGAGAATGTTGTAAAATCTCCTCTCAGTGGTCCTTTAGCAACACCGGAGTGGCCTGCAGTGTAGCACTACGAGATGGTTTGGAAGAGTCTTTAGTCCTCCATCTCCATAACCTCCACCACAACTCCCATTCTTTATATAGGCCAGCATCATTCAATAGAAACATAGAATGTGAGCCACACATGCAATTTTAAATGTTAGATGTTAGTAGCTAGAGTGAAATGTTTTAAATGTTAGTAGCTAGACGGAAAAAGTTAAAATACACAAGTGAATTTCATCTTAGTGGTGTTATTTACCGAATATTATATTTTACATGTCATCAATATAGAAATTATTAATGAAATATTTTATATCCCCCTTTTTTTATTACACTTTAAGTTCTACGGTACATGTGCACAACGTGCACGTTTGTTACATATGTATACATGTGCCATGTTGGTGTGCTGCATCCATTAATTTGTCATTTACATTAGGTATATCTCTTAATGCTATCCCTCCCCCTTCCCCCCCTCTCCACAATAGGACCCGGTGTGTGATGTTGCCCTTCCTGTGTCCAGGTGATCTCATGGTTCAATTCCCACCTATGAGTGAGAACATGCGGTGTTTGGTTTTCTGTTCTTGCGATAGTTTGCTGAGACTAATGGTTTCCAGATGCATCCATGTCCCTACAAAGGACAAGAACTCATCCTTTTTTATGGCTGCATAGTATTCCATGGTGTATATGTGCCAAATTTTCTTAATCCAGTCTGTCACTGATGGGCATTTGGGTTGATTCCAAGTCTTTGTTATTGTGAATAGTGCCACGATAAACATACGTGTGCATGTGTCTTTATAGCAGCATGACTTATAATCCTTTGGGTATATCCCCAGTAATGGGATGGCTGGGT